GAGTGCGCATTATGATCATTACGATTAGGAGTAGATACCAATGTTCGATTAGGAGTGGATACCAATGAACGATTAGGGATAATTTAGATTTCTATAAACCTCATTTTTCAAGTATCACTCTCCCTAAAATTTCAAGTATTACTCCTGAAATTAAAATTGATAACGATAATTCCTGTGCATGTCCATATCGATTTGAAGTTGATCGTATGATGCTTAATAAGATAATTAATTTGTCATAAGTATTTCTTCTCAGTTTGTTTTAATTATTTTGTGCTGCGACTAGATAATTATATTTAATACGTAAATTCTATAAAATATTCTATTCTACATATATTAAATCCATATTGAACAATCAGAATATTTATGCTATCATTATATCATTGCCTCGAGACTATCTTGTTAAATATATATGATACGAACATGTTTTCTCCCACCAGCCTTTATCCAATTTTAATTAATACCCATATACCTTCTATGAAAAATGATACGCGAGGGGATAGATATTATGACGAACTAATGGGACGACTAGAGTTCACAATCTGTTTTTAGTTTCTTATATAATAACAATTATGCATTTTTTCTTTTTAACTCGGGTAAGTGTATTATGGCGGATCGAGATTATTGAACGAAAGAATTTTTTGATCATAAGGAAGATTATGTAGAATTTAAATCTAAGGCAATCACAATGCATGATATCTTCGCAAAAGTTCACATAGCGATAGTAATTCAATGTAAATCTATTACTTTAATTATATGATTTTATTCGGGAATAAAAAATTAATATTTATTTTATCAGAATGGATGTTATCGTGATTTTCACGAAGATTCAATCTTCGTGCTTCCATTTAATAATATTAACAGATGAAGAAGAAGGAATGTATTTTACTTATTTTATTATTAGTTAACTAACAAACTTTTATGTTTCATATAAAATAAAATCCATAAAATTTGGCTGTACATAGACATAGTCAGTATCGGTAGCCATAAAATTTTCCTCCAATAGAGAAATACTTCTAAAACTGTTGAAATTAAAGTTATACGTCGACTTGTTATCATCATTTCCCTCCTTTAACTGAGAACTATATGTATCATTTGTCGCTCGTCTCACCTCGAAAGTCATTGTATTATTTTTATTTTTATTTTTATATGTGTTTTTTTTTCTGTTTGGTCGATATCTGTAATTAGGAAAATGCAAACTATGATGTTTTTTTGCAATTTCTGCTAGATCTTGCCATATTTATTTACTTTCTGGCTTCATCAAATGCCAAAGCTTTGCTGCCTCTTGCGAATTATTTGAATTAATGTTAAACTCTTTCAATAGTGATAGAGAATTATTCGATTGTGATATCAAAGCTTCAATTTGAGTCGTTGTTTTGAAATCTGGGTACACATCCTTGAATTTTTTTATCAATAACAATAGATTTCTTTTAAATAATATGAAAGAGTTTTGTGGACGTGGGACTTTATCTCGAGAATTACTTCGGGAATTATTTGATTGTGATATCAAGTCTTCAATTGGAATAGCTGTTTTGAAATCTAGGTATTTATTATTGAATATCTTTATCAGCTCTGATAATGGTAAATTATCAAATTCAAAATCAAAAATAATATTTTCCATGATATTATTAGATTGTATCATTAAGATTTAACTAAAAATCGTTACGTATTTATAACTTTATTGAAATTTACAAATCAACTTTTTTCCGATTGTTTTTTCCACTATTAAAAATAATACATATTACGATATGGAATAAATACATGTAAGACATCTATAAAAAGATTAAAAAATTATCGAGCGATATTATTTTATGAATAAACTAGCAAATTGAACCACCAGTTTCCAGTATTGTTAAATAAAATAATACATATAATAGGATTTAATACAATAAATCTTGAACAATTTATTTCGTTATTTATAAGGTCATACGGAAATATACCATAATGACAAAATGTATCACCAAAGACCACCTAGCAATATAAAATCATTTATCGCCATGAGCGAAGAAGAGAATCACGTGAAATGCACTTTTTGTCGTGGCTAGGTTATTGATAGTTCTCATCTTTCTAATTGACTACATCAACAATCATCGATGATACAGTAAATAATGAAACATCAATAATAGATACATGTACATTGTTCTTTAGAGGAATGAATAGGATTTATATAAAACCATGTCGATATAATTTTATAATGCTGAAGCACAAATAAAAAATTTGTGGTTTTTTTTGTAACCAGATTATTAATTGATCTAAAGAATTTGCATCCAATCAAGTTCATATTTCACCAATGATGTTTAGATTGTTTTTCATAAGAATTTCAGATAAAGGCAATTTGTTCGCCTTGTCTCTAGTAAATTTTAGTATTATTTATTTATTTTATCAGAAGGGATGTTATTCTTCGAGCTTCCATTAATAATAAAATCTTTTTATATCGAGATCGAACTCTTTTTGGTTATCGTTATAAAAAAAAATTTAATATTATTTTTTGTTTTTGTTCTATTTTCTATTTCATTATATTTTTCGTTAGTATTTATTAATAAGATCTATAAAAAGAGTCGGCAAATATCGATATGGTAAATTATTAATGCATAATAACGATAACGTATTTATCGAGTTAGCTGCAACCAATCATTTTCTTTTGGTTGATTTTTATCCTCTTGACAATCGGTTTATTTTTAATGTATTATTTATTCTGCGGACGTCGAATTCCGTTTTTATTATCTTTTTGGCAATACGTATTATTGCAATTGTACAAAACATGTCTTCTTGGCACTGGTATCATCAATTGGTGTCATTTTTTATCTCTTACAAAATAATACGTATAATTCAAAATAATATGATTGTTCACAGAACCACCGTTTTCCGGTATTATTAAATAAACTAATATAAATTACGATAAGATAGGATTTTTAATACATTAAAGCTTGAGACGTTATGATAGAATAATTAATCATATTTGTAATCAATCTTGTATTTGAAAATAAAATCGACAAAGTTATCAGAATTTGAGTGACAATCCAACACAATTCAATTTAAACTTTCAAACAAACAACGGTATTTCGAAACACATATATTTCATCTATTCCTCAGTTATACACACCAAATTCAACAATGTCCCGACAAGATTCGATAACGGCTCGTGTTGTGCTAATTACTGTTTTAGAGACTGAGGCAAAAGAGTTATCTAAAAGTTTGTTTTTCTTTTAATTTAACAGTTTTTGTATTAAAATCAATTTGTAACAAGATACACTTAATCTATTTTGAAACAAGAAATACTTGAAAAGAAATATGCCGCTGCTATCAATATTATTCCGGCGATTACCTCGTTTTATTGTAAGTTGTTAAATATTAGCACGAATTACTACAATAAGTTTACATAATCAATTTATATTATAGGGTGGAAAAACGAAATTGTTGAGTCCTTAGAGCAAATGCTAGTCATTAAAACTGAAGATTATCATGTTAAAGAACTTGTGGAATATGTTAAAAATAATCAGACATACCAAGTTCCAGGAATCATCTCAATTAAAGTAAGCTCATTCTTTGCTTACAACAACCAACCTTGATTTAGAAAATGCTCTTATAACGCCATTTTCTAAACAGATTGATGAAGGAAACCCAGATTATCTGACTTGGATTGAACGAGCTGTTTTTGAGCCTCATGGATTGTTTGGGACTTTTATTGAGTTATAAAAGGTGTAAATAATCGTCTGTAGAATTACCCTTAATTTCCATGACTGTACTGTATTTGAATTGAAGATCACCATTCAACTGTCTAAGTAAACGAAAAAAAGAAACTAACTGAGATATCGATTTTATATTGTTATTTTAAAACTTAAAAAGGGTGAGAAAATAAGAGCTATTATCCCATGGGTTCCATGTATACAACAGTGGAAAAATCCCAAAAATCCCGTGATAAAAATAGTTTATTATTAAATCACATGATAAAAATCATCGTGATAGCGATAGTTTATAGATATCGAATTTCTTGTCACGAAAATGCGTACTATAACAAGTTTATGTCATTTTTCAACAAATGATATTTTACTTAATAAAAACGGTTTTATTGACAAAAATGCTCTATTTTTTGTCATTTCCAAAGCAAGTAGTGTAAAGCAAGCGCGAATGTATTTACCTGTGTAGCGGAGATTTTATGTGTCCATGCTTCAACAATATCAGCCTCGATTTTCGACGAAGTATGTTCCTCATCGAAAATCACTTCAAGTACCGCCTGTGTCCAAATGGCGTTAGCTTGGGTCCGTTCCTCTTCAGTAGGAAAAACTGCCTTAATTATTAACGTGAGGAACGTGTCGGAAGCCGGATTATCTGGATCACTTGGGGCGTAGATTTCTTCGTGGACTTTCTTTACATCTTTTTGTTGTTTCTAAGCCGTCATTTGATCCTTAGTTGTCCTTGAATGGCTTGATCCGTTGATGCCGAATATAGCCAATAGACTATTTTTGACGCGACGAACGTAATATCCTTTTTTAGCACGATTTGGGATGAGCATCTAAATTAACGAAATCAAGTTAACTTATTTACTAGTGTTAACTAGTGTTAACATAAATTTTAATAAAACTGAAGAATACAAACAGCAGAATATATTTTTTTCTCCCATAGTTTGGTGAACGAGATGCCTTTTTCCTTTAACTTTTTCAGTTGTTCAGCTGAATCTTCGTCTCGAAGAAGTTTGTCCTTGATTAGTTCCTATAGCTGATCGTCCGTTAAATGTCGATGAGCGTGGAATAGCTCATACGAGCATTCCTTAATCGCGTCCTGCAATGAGATTAATTAATAAAATAAGGATAGGTTGTATTGACAAGTAATGTTAATATAGGTATATTTACTTGGTAGAATTCTTCCGAGGATTTCGTTTTTTTCCCTTTACCACCGCCTTTAGTCCACGTCTCCAATCCTTAGCCATTTAATTTACTTAATATCGCCTCAAGTTGATCGTGTTGTGCATTGAGTTTCGCTTCAATTCTTGATTGACCGGTGACGAGTTCTTGAATATGTATTGCGTTTGTTTGTTCGATTTGCAATAGCTTTGATAGAAGTTGTGGGTCTACAGCAACTTGTACTAATAAATGAACAGCGTAAGGTATAAGTAACATCAATTAAATATTAGTATATCAGTTGACTTGCTAGTGCTGGCTGTCTTACTAGGAGGCTTATTGCTTTCTGTTGACTTGCTAGCGCTGGCTGTCTTACAATATGATAATAAATTTTTAAGTTTATTATCGATGTAGACTTTTATATTCATTTATAACATAGCATTTACTACCGTATAGCGTTGCCTATAATACCCGGTCTTATTCAAAAAACTCCAGACTGACTTGAATATACCTGGTGATACTGTGTAATAAAAAAGAAGGAGTTGATAATAAGAGTGGATATGATGAAGAAAACGATATATGGTATGATGATGATTCGGAAAAAAAAAACAACTACTAATAGAAAATAAGCATCCTGAAACATATGATGAGCTATTACCAAAGCTTTCACCAGCAATGCGCAAAATGTGTTTATCTCGAAAGGATTGGGGGAATGAATCGAAAAAATCAGATGAATGGTTTTCATCCTTACAGTACTTGCATTGTAATATAAATGATTTATCAATTTCTGAATCTTTTTTAGATCCAGGAAGTGAGTTCGGATCTTTGAATGATTCGACAATTAATGCCCTGGGGTGGGAAGCTGACAACTTATCTAACTTCAATATAAAAGGTAGCTCTAAACATATCACTGAATCACTGGGATGGTTTACGGATGTGCCAGTCAGTATAAAAGATAAGAATGGTAAAACCGTCACAGCTACTGGAAATTTTACTCGTATTGATAATGGTGAACCCAAACCAATGTTATGTTTAGGTATGACATGGATTCGAAAAGTTCAAGGTATTCTCGATCCAAATAAAAACCAATTTCAAATAAAGTTACATGGTAAATCTTATATTATTCCAACATTCAGCAAGGCCCCAATAGCAAAGGATCCACCAAAAGATATAGAAACGTCAGAAGCATTGGATTCCAATTTATCTAGTGAAGAGTTTAAAAAAAAATAAACTGCATAAATTATGTGAATATGGAAATTCGAATAAAAGAGCTTGAAAAGGCATTATTATCTAGTGTTCAAGCAAATTTGGAAATTATTGGATATTATAATACTTTACTTGAACGATATGAAACTAAGATCGAATAAGAGCACGACCAGATTCTCTAATTTTTTCTATATCACTATTAGTTCTCTTAAACAAATCCAAGACATCTTCGGAGGATGATTCTTCAGTTGGTAAAATAGCTACTTTGTGACTGTCTTCAGTAATTTCGTTTTTTATCGGATCTTTGGATGTATCACCCTTATTAATAACATCAGGTGAGTCAGAAATTTGAACCAATTTAGGTCTCGATTTTTTTTTCTTAACCTGCTTATTTGAAGTATCGATAGGGGTTTCTAGAGTGTGTCTATAATTTCCTCCTTGTTGAAGACGCTCACAATTATTCCATATATCAAGAACGCGCTCTTTACATATATGATAATCACCAATCACTTTATATATAGGAACTTTGTTCTTGAGCCTCCTAATTTCTTCAATCTGCTCACGAGATAAATAATGTGCATTTCGACGATAATATGTTTTTAAAAATGGGGTATTCATTGGTCTAGATTTTTGGAATATTTTAGAGGGATAAAAAATGTTAAAGATGGTTATTTATTATTCAGATAAAAATGTTAAAGATAAATATTTATCGTTCAAGATGGATAAAAATTATTAACGAGTGAAGTGAAAGGATTTATAAGAATAGATTTTTTTTATATATAAAAATAGATATAAACATATTGTGATCTATTTGAAATTTTTCATTTATCATAGATTTATATTATTAAAGATCGTTCGATAACATTTTTATTCATTCCAGAGTGTTTTATATATAATACAATAAAAATATATATTTTTTATATACTAGTAACTATGAGCAATGTATTCACCTTGAAAGATATTGAGAATAAAGCTCATCGGCTTGGTAACATTCATGAATTAGAGCTTGAAAAAGCATTACGCAATAGTATCAAATCTAACTCTGATCTTGCTAATGAATATAAGGATCTGCAGAATATATATTTGAAGCGAGAAGGGGATTTTAACCGAGAAAAAAAGAAGTGGAATCGGGATTCATTGCGTTATAGTAAAGATTTTCAAGAATTATATACTCACACTTCACAAATTATTAATGAGGGCAAACAACTTCAAAGTGAGAATACTAACCTTACATCCCAACTTACCCAATCACAGATTTCCCATACCGAGTATAAAGCCAAGTATGATACTCAATTGGAAAAAATAAAATCGCTTCAAGCTATGAACAAGATATTAAAATATAAGTTGGAATCGGCTCAGAAGGATGTGCTTTTGATCCAGAAAAATTCATCAAAAAAAGAATCTGAGATACTATTTCTCAAGTCTGAATTGGAACGTATAAAGAGTGAATTAGCTTCAACGGTTAGTGAATTAGAGCATCTAAAATCAGATGCTATATCGAAACCTGTAATTGGTGGGGATGTCGAAAAAAATATAATCAAGTCTAGTAGGGGTGAAATCCCATTGCAAAGCAATAATATATCTGTGGATAATGATCTCAGTAAATATTTTATACGTAGAAAAAATATGGATCCAATAGAAAAAATCGATGGTAATATCTCGTCACATACAAGGCCTTTAGGCGCCTCTTTGAGGCATGATGAGATTATTGAATCACCAAAAATTGATACTGAGATCAATTCCAAAGTAAGTGAGTCATGGAGTGAGGATGCTAATACATCTGAAATTAACGATAAAGATATCATATCTCATTCTCAGATTCAAGATATTGCAATAGGAGGGGCTGAGGAATTACCTATTATTGCATTGGGAGGTAGTAATGCTTTAGTTAATAATCATTATATAATTCCGCCTATATTCAAGTTTGTTATTATTGCTTTAATAGTAATATTAATTATATGGTATATATATAGTCAAATTTTTCGTTCAATCAAAAAGGAAGAAATTTTTTATTCTACATAATAAAACAAATTTCTATTTATGGGTCATTAGTAGATTTGTATGGAGCACGAATAGGGGCCACCTTTTTTCTCATTAATTCAAAAAAAGAAATACTAGCGGGGTAAGCAGATCGACAGATGAACTTGCGCGATCTTATCAATAAACAGCAAATTCCTCAGTACTTTATTAGTATTCATAATACTGATTTCACACTGTTAGCGCGTCATGTATTGTTATTTCAACAATCAAGCATCTACGAGCAACGTAATTATGAAAAATGTAGTTATGACAAATACACATAATAATTAATAAAGCAACATGCGAAGCGCCTTAACGGCTAACTTTTATTAAATCGGGTTAAATTCTCTTTTCACGCGTAGTAAGCATACAGTATAAAATAAAGCTTCTATTGAAATTCTTCAAAATGATTTGGCCCAACATTACGCAGTAGTTCAAAGATCCGATTTTAATCAACTAAGTGTGTCCAATGAATCTGAAGCTAATTCGACCAATGAATCTGAAAGTAATTCGCGAGGCTCTTCAACTAATTCATCTTCAAGCTCTTCCGCTTCTTCTGGTAAGATAAAAACAAAATAATTTTTGATAATCAATGCTTTATGTATTAGGGGGTTTGACTGATTGCAGGCTCGAGCCAAAAATTCGCAAATATCATTTCTGTAATCCGGGAACAGTTTTCGGATATCTTTGATAGGGTTAAGGGTGCGAATGATTATTCTTTAGATCAGATGTGTGCTGTTGTATCGGTTGATATTCTTAGTAGACTTGGAATGGGAGTAATTGGGAAAGATACAATAAAGGGATTTTATCGTGGAGAAAACATAAGTAGCAAAAACTTAGAAAAAATAGGTGCTTGGGTAGATCATACTCATTTACATTGTTACTGAGTAGCGGGGAAGGAACTGCCATTATATGGGTTGGGGCTCGGCAAATTCCTCCCTTGAAACAACCTGCTACTCCAATATCTTTTATTAGTTTTACGAAAAAATATAATAAAGAGCTGATCCCGAAGGGATCGTTTCACTTTGAATTTTTAAACTTGTGTTCATGTTTGCAAAATTATTGTATGTGATAAGAAAAAATCTTTATTTTATCGATAAATGCGCTAAACTATATATTGAAATAATTTTAAAAAAATTAACTTTCACCCGGAGTTGGCTTAACTCGCTGAGGAGATTTTACAAGAATATTAATAAATCTACCGTCAGGATTATCATTAAAATAATCACTAATCTTATCATCTAATTTCATTTCTTTACATGTTTTGTTCTCATGGTCAATTGCACAAAGAGTAAAAACGGCATTTTTAAACTCTTCTGTAAAGTATTGGTCCCGAATTTCAGTTTGTAATGCACTGACCAATCTGTCGTTATTAATATAAATCCCATTTAACTGGCTTTGATATCCAAAAAATGCACCAGTTGGGATGACATCAGCATATTTAATGACTAATATAAATCAAATTTAAGGATTTCATATTTCAAATCCTTCTAGCATCGAAATTGTACAAAAAATATGTATGATATAATTAGGGAAAATACGATATTCCAAATCACAAGTCGCGATGGTACAAAATTTCACTTGATGACATGAGATTAATATTCGATTAGAACAATTTAAAATGCACAATTTCGAATAATTTGCCCTAAACCCATAAATAATCTTTTAATAAGAAAAATGTAGCATTAATTTGTACATCACTTGGTAATATATTATTTGGTTATTATTATAATGGGAAATTCCCATTTAAAATGGTTTAATTAAATCATAGCAAAGGGAGTGGTGGTAAGAGACATAATTATATGGATAAAATCAGATCAAAAAAAGGCTAGAAACATTTTTTGATCATCGATCATCAAAATTAAGTTCCAAATACGACACATAAAAATGGTTCTTTTAATTAAATCATATATGGATAAAATCAGATCAAAAAAAGGCT